TTTCTCTTCAATATTATTTATTCATTGCTACAGCAACAAGAGGTTGTATAAATGACCAAAACATACTCTGTTATATTTGTCGTAAAGAAACAAAGGCAAACATTACAGAATTCGTTAAAAAGGCATATTATGCATATTTTGGAATAAAACTTGGGGACTAAGGCAAATCCTGAACTCCGGACAAAGTTTGCACTGTTTATGTCGAAGAGTTGAGACAGTGGACTAAAGATAAGAAAAAGTCTTTGCCCTTTGGAATTCCAATGGTCTGGCATGAGCCTAGAAACCACAGAGATGACTGCAATTTTGCTCATATAACTTGCAAGGCTACAACACTCGAAATAAAAAGGAAATTTCTTATCCGAACCTTCAATCTGCTATAAGCCCTGTTGCTCATGGACCTGATGTACCTGTACCTACTCCACTGGAGACTCTTGATACAGTTTTATCTGATGTCAATAAAAATGATGATAACAGTTGTTTTCAACTTGAAATGTCTGATAAATCACAACTTTTCATCCAAGGTGAACTTAATGATTTACTGAGAGATTTGGGCCTTCCAAAGAATTGTTCAGAGATTTAGGGGTCCATACTTTGGGTTAATAACTTACTTTCTCCAGGGACCTCATTTTACTGGTACAGAAATCGTGATAAAGAGTTTATACCATATTTTATGCAAGAAGGTTCACTGGTTTATTGCAACAATATTGCTGAATTAATACCAGTGCTATGAGCTGCAGTCTATGAACCAAGTGAGTGGCAATTGTTCATTGATTCTTCCAAAAGAAGTCTAAAACGTATTCTTCTTCACAATGATAACATATATGCATCTGTTCCTATTGTTCATTTGGTTTACTTGAAGGAAACATATGAAAATCTCACACTTCTTAAGAAGGTCAAATACAAAGAACATGGTTGGCTTCTTTGTGGAGACTTAAAAGTCCTTTGTATGTTGTTGGGTCAACAATCCAACTATACATACAAAGTTTCCATGTTTTTTGTGTGAATGGGACAGCAGAGTATGAAATCAGCACTGGATAAAGAAGCAATGGCCATGCAGAGTCAGCCTGATACCAGGATCGAAAAACCTTGAACGTGAAAGTTTGATTGACACAAAGAAAGTCCTATTACCTCCTCTTCACATAAAACTGGGCTCGAAGAAGCAGTTTGTAAAGGCTGTAGACAAAGATGGTGACTGTTTCAAGTATCTATGTGGGCAATTTCCAGCTCTTTCAGAAGCGAAACTTAAAGAAGGGATTTTTGTTGGGCCTCAGATTAGGAAAGTGACTTTTCATGAACAGTTTGAAAGGACAATGTTGAAAGTTGAAAAAGAAGTGTGGATTGCCTTTAAAGATAGTATTAACAAATTTTTAAGAAACAACTAGGTCCCAA